TTTCATGTCGAAAGGTGAAAGGTGGGAATAGGGCTTGTGTGTGTTTGCAGCACCAGGCTAGATGCCGCGGGCACCCAAGGGGTGAGGGCTGGGGCCCTCTGGGCCCTGCCCAGCGTGCCATCAGGCAGGCTGTGCTTTGACCCTGCCATTCCCGCCTTCAGCGGGGGAGTGCAGTTTTAGGTTTTATATTGGTATTTGGTCCATTGTTTCGGGCGAGCCTGGGAATACTCGACATTTTTCCATCCTACAAATGCCGTATGAACGGTTTCGTAGCATGCATGACTTTGGAGAGAGCAGCCAACCTGTACCGCCGTTTCCCTTTTGGGGAAACTGAGACTCAGAAAACTAAAGGGGTGGCCCCAGGCTTCGTGATTTAACCCACGGGCAGGGCTGTCGCCAGGTCTGTGTGAAGCCTCCAGCTCTCCCTGACTTGCTCTTGTGGGCCTGGCGTTGCCAAACGCCCTGCAGATGCCCCTTCCACAGGGGTCAGTTCCCACCAACAGCCCCTGCTTTCCTGCCCAGCCGCCTGCCAGGTGTAAATGTTCGCCGCTTGGGAGCAGACTAGCCTGTGGTTACCACCTTCCGCTGGCTCCCCCTTGGCCAGGCTGCTGAGCAACACCTGTGAGGCAGCACGAAAACCAGAACTCGCTCTTGCCTACAGCATGTTGCTCCGGTCCTGCTGCTCTAGGCTCGTGGGCAAGAGACAGACACGTAGGGCGTGTCCGGCATAGTCGGCTTAGAAAGCGCAGCCAGGTGCAGCCGGTGGCCGAGGCCCAGGCCGTAGCAGAGAGGACAGGAAGCTGGAGAGCAGAGCCTCCCCCGCTCAGCGCTCTCTGCGGAAAAAGGAAACAGACCCCTGACATGGGGGATTGCCATGGGCCTGGAGCAAACACTCCCTGGCGGGCCACGCTGAGCTCGAGCGTGAAGCCCCTCAACGTGGAACTCATCTACCTGCTGTGCAGCCAACTCACTGGGTCCTTCCCATGCCCTGAGCCAGGACAGCCCCCCACATCCCGCTGTCTTACCTTTGAACCCTCCACACTTCCACGCAGCTCCAGGGTCACCTCCATGCCAAGTCTTCCTTGCACCCCTGCCAAGGTCAAGCTGTGTGGTCAGTGGTCAGTGGTGGCCTCGTCGCTCCACTCCAGTGCCCCGTTGTAGCTGTCTATAACACTGTGTGCTGAACTGGTATTTCTCTCCCTCTCCCGAGCCTGTGGGCAGGGGTCAGCGGTGCCCAGCACAGCACCTGGCACGAAGGAGGTGTGTGCCAGGTCCGGCAGACGTAAGAATGCGAAGCCGCTGAGCGGGGCCTTAAAGGATGAACAGGAAGCAAGTGGGGCGGGGCGGCACGGGGAGCGCCCAGGTGTGTGTCTGTGGCGTGTGAGCAGGAAATGCTTCATGTGAGCACCTCAAGGGGGTTAACTAAGTTCGCAGGTGAGCCAGGAAGGTGGACAGGCCAGCTCATAGGGGCCAAGGCGTGGATGGCAGCTTCTTCTCCAGCCCCATTTCCAGCCCAGTGACTCAGCCCTGGAGAGATGGGACTGCAGAATCGGGGAGAAATCAGGCCCCCGCACGGGGCAGTCCAGCCTTTCCCCTTCTCAGGTGAGGAGGCCAGGACCCTTCTCCCACACCTCAAGGCTGTCCTGTGCTTTCTCTTCTACACTGGATGCTGAGACTGAACTTGAAATGCAAAAGCACCCTCCAGCTGGAGACCAGAAAGGAATTAGCCAGGATCTAGCAGGAACCAGGCGACAAAGACAGGAGCGTGGGACAGTGGCTGAAGTGTGGGCTGTGGGCCTGGTCTGCCTGGGGGAGCCCCAGCTTGACTTGCCGAGTAGGTTACGTGGCAAGTTGTGTCACCTCGCTGATCTTGCCTCCTCATCTGTAAAATGGGAATTGCAACCAAACTTCACAGACTTGGAGTTGTTAAGGAGTGAGGAGGACCCACTTAGCAGGGTGCTGAGCAGGGGTGAGCCCCCAGGGCCGGGTGGCTGTTGTTTGTTTCTTCGAAGATCCCTGGGAGACAGGAGAGTGTAGTGGTTAAAGTGGTGTAAATATCCTGTTTTCATTTTACTGTGATCTTAGCGTAAGACAGGAAAGTCTAAAGAGGTAGAAAAGCCTCCTGCTTCCGCTCTTACTCCATAGGACACTATCTCATCTCATTCCTCCCCACAGCTTTTCACCCTCTGTTTATTTACATCTTAGTCAAGGTAAATAAACACTCAGAGAAGTTGAATTACCTGCCCAGGGCCAAAAAGCCTGGTGTAGGCAGTGTGGAACCACCCCGGTCTCCTAGGGATACACCCTAGAAAGATAGTGGAATTTGCCTTTATCTCTGTCTGCTCACAAATCACTGCCCAGTTTTAACTCATTCTTTATCCTTTGGCCCCAGTCTCAGCAGCTGTGCAATGATGGGAGCTTGTAGTAGTCAGGGCAGGTATTGCTCACTGCTGTAACAAACAAGCCCCACTGCAGAGGCTGCAGGAGAGCTTTGTTCCGCTGGCAGAGCACTGTGGGGGACCAGGGGCTCCCCACAGCCTCTCAGGGATCTGGGCTCCTGCCATCTACCGATTCGGACTCCCCAGGGCCTGCATTCTCCCCTGGCTCCTGGGCCGCTGGCCATGCAGGAAGCGGGAAGGAGTGAGCACACCGCCCTTACACCCCTCAGCCCCGCAGGAACAGAGCTCCCTCCCATTCACTTCCATTGGCAGGAACCAGCTGTGGGGCCCCAGCTAGAGGCAAGGGGGTGGGACATCTGGGCCAGCCATGTGCCTGGGGAGAAGATCGCCCAAAGCCAGTGCCATGGACGGGTCAGCTTCTGTGATCCCTGCCATCCTGGCCAGCCAGAGTCGGGATCCAGTCTGGTCTGGGGACCTGCAGCTGGTCCAATCTCCCTGAGCCCCGCCCTCCCCTCCCTACCCCCCCACCCCCCAGAGGACAGTCCCTGCCAAGCCTCCCAGGGTGGGTGGGTGGTGAGATAATGATCTTATCATGCTTATTGCCTCTTGGAAGGCAGGTGCTGGACAAAAACCAAGTCCGCTTTGGTTTTTCTCCCTGTTCTCTGCACATTCCTTCTGAAGATAAATTTAGCTAATCCTTGCTTTGAACAGCAGCGCCCAGGATGCCGACTTTTGTTCTCCAAGTCTGTGCATTCTTCATGGCTGCAGCCTCTTCAGGCCCAGCCCCGCCCTGCCCCAGACACCTGTGATGCTGCCCCAGTCGCCAGGGCCCAGGGCCAGGCTGGGTGGAGGGACCCCAGAGGGCTGGGGACGGACCAGGGCCGGTTAGGGGGCGAGGCTGAGGGAAGGGAAGGCAGCTGTGGGGTGGACCCTGTGGGCTCTGGGCCATGGGTGGGGTCTCTGCACTGCGTGGTGCCCAGGGGAGAGGAACTGGGGATCAACCACCATGCTTTTCTCTCCTCCCTCCCAACCTCCCACGCTATGATGGCCTTGGTGCCCACAGCTGGCTGGACCCCATCAAAATCAAAGGGCAGGGAGCTTGGGGGGAGCAGCGGGCTCCGATCCTGCAGAGAGGGGCAGAGACAGCTGTAAGGGGCCGACATGGGTATCACGCCCGCGCCCACCCGGAGAGTTGGTCTTGATGTTTACCCCTCTCGCTACAGAGCTGGAGGGAGCCTGAGCATCTCCCCTTCATAGACAGGGACAGTGAGCCCCGGGGGCTACGTCACACTTTGCTAGCAGGGCTGGAGGCAGGATTTAGACTCGCTTCTGCCTTGTTCCAAAGTTGTCCTAGAGCAGCTGTGAGGACATTCTAGAATTTCGAGAGACTCCTCCTCCCCCCCGACCCCCACAGGGGGCTTCCTCCCAGGACTAGGGGTCTCCCTTAGTCCTACACTCAGGCCGACCAGCATTCTCTCAGCTCTGCAGGTTCAGTGCAGATGTCCCTGGGTTGGGGGACCCTGCCAGGGAGTGGGTTCTCCAGACCCCTTCTCCTGCGGGGGTAGGCCTGAGACGGAACCTGGGGCTGGGATATTGCGAGGAAGACCGCAGCTCCAGAGAGGAGCCATGCGAACCCACTCTCTGGGCTGGCAGCCCTTCCAGGCCCACTGGCACATGGGGTGTGGGCAGCAGGGGTCCACTTTGCAGCCGAGGCTCAGCAGCCCAAGAGATGCCACTTTGTTCGTGTTGAGGTTTGTGTCTGCTGGGCAGAACCAGGTGGAAGAATGCACGGGGCCTGAGGAAGTGTAAGTCGAGTCTTTGCAGAGTGAGCTGCCAGAAGCCAGGCCAGAGAGGTCAGCATCTTCCCAGCGTGGCCGCTGCCTCTCCACATCTGTCAGACTCCATGGGCTCGCCCTTCGCCACCCCGGCACAGCTCCCGGCCCCAGCAGCCAAGAGGAAGCCTCAGAGCTTGAGGTCTTCAACTGGGCCTCATAACTGGGCGGCCCCAGCAGGTCACATACCCCTGGGCGCTTCCCATTCCCGTGCACAGGTCTGTGGCGAGGGCGAGATGAGAGGAGGTGTCTGAAAGCACTTTTTTAAGCTGCCGTGTAAATGTAAATGTGTTTCTGCAGCAGTAACACCAGCAAACATTTCTTGGGCACTTGGTGTGCTGCGAGCCAGGTACTGTTCTCACCCCGACACCTGTGCTCCCAGGCGGTTCTCACCGCCCTATAAAACGAGGTTTCTGCATTGTTCCTAGTCACACTGAGAATGTGATGGGCCCAAGGCGGCCCTGCCGGCCTTGCACTCAGGCTGAGCAGCCCGTGACGGCCCAAACACCTGGGCCTGAAGAATCTGGGGTGGGGGGGTGCTCCAGGGCTCAAACTTTCATGCACCAGAGTCATTTAGGGAAGTTCGTTAAACGGTGGGGACCACACAGAGGCTGGTTCCATGGGGTGGGGGCGGGCTGACCTCTTTAGTAAGCCCGAGGCCGGTCCCACCAAACCAGCTGCTAAGTGAAGGTCACAGGTCCTCGAGCATCTGAGGGGTCAGACGAGAGCTGGAGTCCACAACAGGACCCACCTTTGCCTCCGTGTCCAGGTTTGCCAAGTACTACAAGATGGAGAACGGCAGTGAGTACCGCACGCTCCTGAAGGCTTTCGGCATCCGCTTCGATGTGCTGGTATACGGAAACGTGAGTCCCGGGCTGGGCTGGCGGGTGGACAGGGAAGGAGGCCTGGTCTACCACGGCCCGAGGGCAGAGGGGAGCAGGGTCCTGCCACTTGCCAGCTCTGTGGCCCTCAGAGGCTCACATCTCCAGGCCGCTCACCTGTACTGTGAGGTGGGGGTCACCTGCTGACCATCAGGAACCCCTCGGGCCCCACAGTGTCTCTCGCTGGATGTCCAAGTCCGGCCTTAGGCCTCACTCCACCCTGCCAGACTCTGCCACTTGCCCTGGTCTTTGTGCCTTCAGGCGGGCAAGTTCAACATCATCCCCACCATCATCAGCTCAGTGGCGGCCTTCACCTCTGTGGGAGTGGTGAGTTGAGCCCTCCAGGCTCTGACGGGGTGGGGCTCAGGCGGGCAGGGGTGGCGGGGCTTGGGGTGACCCGTGTTTGCTGGAAGGGAACGCCCAACCTCTTGCCAGGTGCTTCTGCCTCCTCCAGCTGCCTATGGCTCAGCCCTTGTGAGCATCACCAGTCACAGACCCGCCCGTTACAGAACCACCAGGGCCAGGGCCTGTGCCCACTGTGACGGTGGGGGTGAAGCCTGTGGAGCTCCACTGTGAGGAGCCTGTGCTCTGCCTGGGCCGCCCTGGCACGGGGGAAAGGACGAGGGGGCGGGGGCGGGAAAAGCCCTAGGTACTTTTCTAAGAGGAAACAGCTGCCGGGTGGCTCAGGGGGGCTCCCCGGGGCCCTGGCCTGCTGGAGGCTCTGCCCACCCACTGCCCACCCGCTGCCAAACAGCTGGGGGTCACCGAGACTGCTGTTTCCGGCCACGCTGCTCCCCACCATCCTTGCAGTCCCTGAGCCCACCCTGCCTCTTCTCCAGGGGACCGTGCTCTGTGACATCATCCTGCTCAACTTCCTCAAAGGGGCCGACCAGTACAAAGCCAAGAAGTTTGAGGAGGTGACGGGGCCCGCAGAGGCCAAGGGCCAGACAGGGAGAGGTGCTGGGCCCGGGGATGCTCCTCCCCTTTTGGGGGCTTCTGAAAGGGAGCGCACTGGGTCTCAGTGTCTATTCGAGGTCCACATGTGGGCTCCAGAGAACCCCCGGCCCCTGGGGTCCTCCCCACCCACATTCCCTTCCACGCCTCCCTCTCCCCCCCCCGACTCCATATCCCGGCAGGGCAGACCCTGATGGGCGGTGGTCCCTGCTTCCCTGGAGGGGCAAGGGAAGAGTGGGGTCACACAGATGTGCGCTGGCTCCCAAGGCAGCTGTGTGCCCCACATGGGGCCCCGCAAGGCCCCCCACAGTCAGACATAATAAGCCCCTCCTGTCTGCAGGTGAACGAGACCACGCTGAAAGCCGCTGCTTCGGCCAACCCGGTGTACCCCAGCGACCAGACCACTGAGGAGAAGCAGTCGACGGACTCAGGGGCCTATTCGCTCAGCCACTAGGGCCCCTTCCCAGGCCCCCTGCTCACCCCTGGGCTCCAGGCCTCCCAACGGGGGACCTCCCCTAAGCAGGGCGGGACTGCAAAGGGGTCCCTCTTCCTGCCGCTCACCCCATGAGGCCACAGCTGGGACCCAGGCCTCCCAGTGCTCCTGCAGACAGGAAGCACTAAGACCTCGGTCTCACCCCTGCCCACCCGTCTGTTTCCCAAGCCCCCGAGTCGGCCCCGTTCCAGACAGTAGAGGTAATAATAGTACGAATGAGTGCCAGGCACTTTCCCACAATTATCTCACGTAATCCTTAGAATAGTCCTACGAGATAGATAGTAGTTTCTCAATTTTAGGGATGAACCAAGGCCCAGAGAGACTGAGTCATTTGCCCAAGGCCACACAGCCAGGGAGGAAGAGTGCTGGGATGGAAGCCAGGTCTGACCAGCTCATCGCCCACACCCCAGGACTGACTCCTAGGGGCAACCTGGCCCGTTGGCCCCAGTTGCTTCAGCCTCCCTGCCCCCGACTATGGTCACCTTCAGCTTAATCGAGAGTAAGCCCCTTGCTTTCCAGAAGCTCAGACAGGCCCACCCCAGGGGAGGCCGTTAGACAGTGTGTGGGCAGTGTGTGGGCGCGCTCCCTGGTGTGGGTGGCTCCTAAGTCAGAAGGACACAGGAGGGAGACTCCCGGTAAGGTTTTCCTTGCCCCACCCCACCATGCCCTCTGCACACCAGGCTGTTTTTGTTCTGGCTCCGAGACACCCGAGATCGAGACCGGAGACCCCTCCCGCCTCCACACAGACACACACAGGATCAGGGTGGGACTTGATTCCCGGACCTGGGGCCCAGCTCTAGGTCAGCAACACCCCACACACCCTCAAGAAAACAGAAAAAGGCCGCAGTGAGGCCTGGTGTCGTCTGCAGGGGCCAGCAGGCCTGTCCCCTAGGGCCAGCAAGGTCAGCTTTCTGATGTTAGATGCTGCAGGAGCCTCGAAAGCGCCTTGTCCGAGTCTCTTGGTTACGCTAGAGAACAGAGAGAGAGCTACTGGCTTGTCCTGTGCCGCGTAGTGGCTGGCAGGACACAGGTGCCCTGCAGCTCAGGAAGCAAGCCAGGGCCGGAGGCCAGCAGTGCTGAGGTGGAAGCCACCGTCCCTGGCAGCCAGAGCCCTCCCCGGCTCTCCCGGGGTGGAAGGTGCTGAGACCCACTGGGCGCCATGGAGGGCCTGGCCCAGGCCTGGCGCTGCCTAAGACACATACAACTGGGGCATCTTTTAAAACATAATTCACAACAGAATGCGAGATGGGGCTCCTTCTGCCCGTGAGCAGCCCTGAAGTATGTAAGTTTCATCCGCAGATCCACTCTGGAAAAATCGGGGGCAGGCAAAGCAGAGGCGACCTCACTGGCATGGAGGGCTGGTCCCTCTGCAGAGATGTGAGCACCAGGTCACGGCACCTGGCTGGGCCGCCTGGGAATGGGGGAGGGGCGAGCCCTGGCAAAGTTCCCCTCCCTGGGGGGAGGGGTAGGATTCCTCATGGCACCTTCACCTCCAGCCCTTCCTCAGGATGGTGGGGTGACACCTCCCCAGGGGCAGCCCCGGGAATCGGGCGTGTCTGGAGGTCCATTGTGCAGGGCCATCAGTGAGGGCAGCTCCCCCTTCTCCAGCTGGGAGCGGCCGGCACCCCTGCGACTCCAGCTCTCAGCAGGCGGAGCTGAGGCTGGGATCTCAGGAATGTTCTTCGAGGAGGAGGTCAAGGCAGCTCAGGGAAGAGCTGCCCTCCCCCCCAAGCCCCTTGCTTCCTTCAGACAGGGGCGTCCTTCCAGCGGGTCCCTCCTGAGCCTGCAGGAGGCTGCATGAACGCATGCATCAGCCCTGCATCCCGCCACAGCTCAGCTAAGCCACCACGCCCATGTGCTCCACTGGGGGCTTGATCTGAGGAGTACGAACAGGAGCTCCCTCCTCCCCGCACCAGCGCCAACATAATCACGTGGCCCCCAACCCGGCTGAGGTTGCTATGGTTTGTTATAATCATATAATCATGCTAGAAAAAGAAATCTGCAATACGTGGAAACTTGACTGGAATCCCTGCTCATTCCAAGCACTCCGTGGTGTCTTTATGCAGCATAAGAGCTAATAAGCAGCTTACCCAGTGGGTAAATGTGTATCGGCATGGTGTGGCCCAACCCTCACCTTACAGAAGCAGAAGCGGAGGCTTGGCAAGGCTCAGGCGCTGCAAGGGGAGAGCTGGGACTCAAGCCCAGATCTTTAGGACTGTGGAATCTGGGATCTTGACCTCTGTGCTCCATTCCTCTGGGGAAAACAGGACACTTATTGGCATCTTCTTTTCTGAATGTTTGCTGCTGTAACAAGTAAACAGCCAGTTCCCAATAAAGTAAATCAGATAGCCTCCTCCATCGAGGAGCCGTGCTGTCCGAGACACGTGGAGCCCCCCAGATTGCTGTGGGGAATCTGAGGCCATCATTTAAGGGCCAGGCCAGCACGGGGCTCATGCAGCCCCCAATGCATTGTACCAGCCAGGCTCAACACGCTGCAAGGGAGAGCAGGAAACAGCCCTCCCAGGTCGGCAGGAAGACACACAACTCTGCTTCATGGCTTCCTTTTTAATGACTTCTCTTCCTTCCTCTCCTTCCACCTCAGACAATTACACATATCCTTCCCTTGTGTTTCTTTTCATAAAACTTTGTTCTCGGCAAGCTACCAGTCTCCCAGAGGTATTAACCGATAAGACTCTCAGGGGTTTCTTCCTAGAGGGCTATTTGAGACGGAAAGGTCTTAAACAGCCAAAGGAATGAATATCTAATGGTTGAAGTTGAGCCCCAGCATCACAGTGCTGTTCATTTAAAAGACACCTTATCTCCCCTAATCGTCTTCAAGCAAGGTCTGAGTTCTCCTTTCCCTTCTCTCCCACCACTTTTGGTTTGGCTGCCAGGATTTGGGGCTACTGGGGTTGGCTAGAGCCCATTCCCCTTCAAGGAGATAAGGATCTGGTGAAAGGGAGTTTGATTCAGACAAAATACCAGTCCCAGAACTACCTATGTGGAGTTTCCTTCACTGCCCACACTTCCCACACCCACAGATTCCTCTGTAGTCTTGGAAGCAGAGCATCGAGAATGAGCTCGTTACAGAGCTGAGCACAGGGCTTTGAGGGAATGGAGCCAGACTGGGGGTCTCACTGCTCACAGACTCCCTGACTTTGACCTCCTGAGAAGTAGCCCCTATGGGCTGGGGTTGCAGGAAAGGGAAGAGGGTAGGAAAGGTGAGAGCACAACCCCCCACTTCCCGCCCCAGGAATGGAGTGGAGAACATACTCAGAGGGAAGAGGTGCACTTTGACTTCACCCATGGAGAGGAGAATGAAAACCAGAGCTAGCGTCTGGGGTGCAGAACACCCCAGCTGCAGGTGGGAACACTTGCTTCTCCCTCCCCATGTTTATCCAGGTGGGATTTCATTACCCTCAATTTTTGCATCAGATATCATTCCCACCTTCCCCAAACCCCATGCTTTTTTTTTTAATTTTTAAAGATTTATTTATTTATGCATTTAGAACTAGAGTACAGGCCAGAGGTGCGGGAGGAGGGAGGGTAAGAAGATTCACCAGAGACAGAGTGGGGAGCAGCGGGCCAGTCAGGAGAGGTCTGCCATGCCATGTGGATCACTCCCTGGTGGGGATTGAACTCTTGCTGCAGTGGCTGTGATAGCTTCATAGTGCTGTGCCTGAACCCATTGTGCCACCAGGGAGGGCCCAGTTGTTCTCTTTCTCTCTCCAAACCCCATTCTTAATCAAGTTAAAGCAGGAAAGCCAACTCCCCAACCCCCCTCTACCCTCACCAAATGAGCTCATCCCCCAAGACCTGGGGGCTCAGGGCTCCCAAGTCAGAGCTAGGAAGGGTCTTTGGAGAACAGCAACTAGTCCCTGCCCTGGCCCCTGAAGGCGCTGAAGCCTAATACCTCAGCACCCCACCCCTGTCAAAGCACCGCCCTATAAGAGGGAGCACTTCCAGGGGCTTCCAACCTGAGGGAGTCGTCCAACATGAGCAAAGAAGAAACAAGAGGCATGACATGCTGTGAGACGTTTGGATTTATGAGCAGGAGGGGCAGAGGGAGTGGTCCTGTGGCCAGCAGCGGCCAGGAGGGTGGGAGAAGGAGGGTCCAGGATCATCTCTGTGCCCCGGCTTAGAAGGAGCAGATGAAGGGCAGGCGCCTCCTGCACGTAACTCGTCTCCAGCGGCCCCCTAGCAATGGAGAGAGCGCAGAACGTCAGCCTTGAGCCACACCCTGTGTCCACGCGCCCCTCCCAGCTAAGGCATGCCCGCCCAGCACTAGGTGAACGGTGGCCTTGGCAATGACTGAGAGAAGGAAGCCATCCCCACCCCCATCCACTTGCACTGATGGATGAGAAAACCGAGGCTGGAGGAAGAACCTGCCTGTACCTCAGCAGCAGGGCTGGGACGTGAGCGGAGCAGCCTTCCCCAGCACACGCCACAGAGCTGGCCTGCGCTTCCTCGTGTCTGCCACCCAGGCTGCCCCCAGGTGAGTCAGCTGGCAACCACCCCTGACCCCCACCCCCCGCCCGGTCCCTCTTCCCTCCTTCCGCACTGCCAGTCACATCTACTACCCTCATTGGTCACGCCAGAGTCCCCTTGTTGCCTCACATCCCAGGAAGGGGAGGGACGCCCTGGCCTGAGCCTCGCTCTGCCTGTGAGGATGGAGAGCCTTCATCTGCCCCCACTCCCCCAGTCAGCCATCCCATCACCTGGTTTGCTCTGAAGAATCCTGACCTTGCAGCCCAGGTCACAGATAAGATGTTGGTTTTCCCACCAGTGGGGGGAGCATGTGAGTTTGGGGAGGTGTGTTCAGGAAACTGAGAGGGGCCACCTTGTACCCCTCCCTGTCCTGGGGCTCAGTCACCCTCACCTTTGGTGCACATGGCTATGCAGTGGCCTTTCCCAGACCTTGGCTGTCCTGCAGCCCAGAATCCAAAATTCCATCTGCTCCCATCAGTCCAGCGAAATCTTTTGCAAGAGAACTAGAAGAATGATAGACTGGTCAGAAGGCAGAGGTCCAAGAAGACAGATTCAGTGGCTTGGAGAATGCCCACCAAGCACCAAGGATCCCTTTCTGGACAGTCATATACAGTAAAATTAATATAATACTATAAGTATTCATATAATACTATAAGTTATTATAAGTTATACTATAAGTTAATATAACACTATAAGATATAATACAATACTATAAATTCTCTTCGCACTGTTCAGTTGATTGGGAGACCATAGGATGAGCTCAGCCGGAGGAGTTGCAGGCAATGAAAGGGCAGCCCAGGCCTCACTCCCAGCCACCACACCGCCACTGCATGCAGGTCTCTGGCACCATGATAAAGTGCCGATTCTGACTTGGGAGGCTGCAGCGGGTTCAGGGACCGCACACAGCTACCAGGCCATGCTGATACTGCTGGACCATGGACCACTCTTGAGAAACACGTACAACGGCTTATTCATCCACAATCCTGAGCCCCTGGAGAGAAGGATCCCAAAGGAAACGGAAGCTCTGAGGAGGCCACTCAGTAAGTGACAAGCTGGGCAGGGGGCCTACCTCTTATCCCAAACCCGTGTTCAACAACCAGCTGGTAGGGAGAGGAAGGGGAGGTGAGGAGTCAGAGGGAGAGCATAACAATTGCTGATTTCCTTGGTGCAAATAATCCACCATGGCAGATTTCCAGTGACAAGTGTGGAGTCACTCAACATAGGGTAGGGAGCAATGCACTAGTCATCATTTCCGACCTAAGACAGGCCAGCTCCAGCACCTCACTGCCTGCCTCTCTGAGGTCATCTCAGCTGCCAGAATGAAGCTTGATGCCACGGGTGCCCCTTGAGGCAGTCCGGTCCCCTCACTTACCCGGCCCCTGATGGTGCCTCCAATCCAGATCTGACCTTGGTTGATCCTTCTGGTCAAGACCTGGAGTCGATAGTTGAATCTGTAGCTGTGGATGGAGACGAGATTGCCCCGGTAGCACCACCTACAGATGTTCTGTGGAGAGAAGAGGTCAAGGAGGGACTTCACTCTGGTTTCTCTCAAGTCCCCGCGTCTCTAGAAGACAGCCCGAGACCCTTTCCAAGTCAGAAATTAGGACCTACTTGCTCCCCTCAAGTAGCAACCCCATAGATTTCTCCTTTATCTGTTGTCGGAAACTTCTTTAATAATAATAATACTCTGAGTAACTATTGAGTGTTTACAATGACGCAGAGATGATCTCAAATATTTTCCATGTAGAGTCCTCACAGCACTAAGAGGTTGGTACAATGTAGCTTCACTTTAAGACATAGACTCTGAAGTTCTGAAAGTTAAAGTGGCTTGATAATGAGGGGCAGAGCCAGGATTTCACACAGAAACCATTAGATTAGAGCTATCTAATGAATATATCAGTATTCATTAGTATATGAGTATTAGTATATTAATATAGTCGTTAGATATATCTAATACCAAAGACTGTTGGCTAAATCATTGTCTCCCAAAGTGTAGTCTAGTCCCCAGACCAACAATGCCATCACCACCTAGGCATTTGTTATAAATGCGCTTTGAGCTGCACCTCCCAGACTTGTTAAACTACAAATCTGTGTTTTAGCAAGACCTCTAGGAGATTCTGATGCATACTAGGGCTTGAAAACCACTAATGTAAGTAAAATAGGAACCGGTAAGTTGCATCCACATTTTCTTCCTCCTACTAACACTCTTCGGTAGCCCCTAGCACATACCTGAGCCCTTTTAAATGTCTTGGCGTTCCGCACCAACAGGTAGCGGGGGCAGGTCTTGCACTTAGGGTTGCCTGGGTGGTGAACCACGTCCTCTTCCAGGGGGCACTGCAAGTCCTCCTCTAGGGCAGCTGCATCTGACTCCAAGTCCTCCTCTTCAGCTTCAAGGTTGTCTGGATGGTCGGAAGCATTGACCATGTCCTCCTCTGTCTGAATCTCCTTGTCAGGCAGCGCCAACTCTCCCTCTTGCTCCCCTGAACCTTCCAGATGTTGGCTCAAGTCTGACTGTGTGTTCAGGCTCTCCAGAGGGGCTGCATCATTCTCTGCAACGACGAGGTAACCAGCTCAGTGCAGCCGCTCCCTTTTCTCAGGACCTTGG